GACTGGGCACAGTGAAACCAAAGGTGCTGGTCCGCTGGAGGCTGGCAAAAATTGCAGTGCAGTTGAAATTAACAAATTCTGCATTATAATTAAACACCTGGGACGAATTGGCGTCTTCTGGCATGGTTTTCTATGGTTTTTAAAATGTCTTAACTATTCTGACTAGTTTCTGGAAACTAGTTGCACTAGTCTGTATCCAGCCCTGGGCCAGAATGTCTTCTCATCAAGTAGCAAGGCAGGTCCTTGGAACCAGCAACTTTCAGCGGATAAGTTTTTCAGGTCCAGGCCGCTTGTTGCGTCGTCAGCGGGGTTTTATTCTACTGGTACATGTCGCCACTGAGCTGGGTCCGATTTCCGTTGAATTTGAATCGGCTACTCGATTAGCAACAAATGACTTCAGTCGTCTTGAGTGACCCTGGATCCAGTATATTTCGTCCATACTGTCTGTCCACAGGGTGTGTTGACTTAGTGGAATTTCTAGCTTCTCAGGGACCGTTTCGGCTAACCGCACTCCGAGTACTGGTGCCATTAACTCAAGGCATGGGATGCTGACGGATTTAATCGGTGTTACTCTTACTTTGGCTGTCACTAGGGCGACTGAGATCTGTCCACTCACGTGTTCGTATCTGGCACAGCTTACTGCGGCATAGGCAAGTCTTGACGCGTCAACGAATGTCTAAAGTTAGACGTCTTCCACTGCTTCCTCGTGCTGTCGGTAGCAATGTGCGATTATGACCTGTAGAGCTTCAGGCAACTGTTTGGCCCACTGATGAGTGATCAACTTTAAATCGTCAGGAAACTCTTCATCCCATTCAAGACCTCGCAACCAGGCTTCTTGTAAAGCCATTTTTGCTCTGATGATGTATGGCGCCAAGAGCTGCAATGGATCAAACAGTGCAGCAATACGACTTAACAGGCATCGCTTCGTGTAAAAGGACAGGATGACTTCCTTGATAACAAACGTGACAACAGCTTCACTCGCATTCTAACGGACTCCTAATGTCTTGACACTTGGTAGTTCTGAGTTGTCAAGCTTTACTCCAGTTGCTCGATCCTCTTGTGGGATTTCTTCTAGAAGCTCTGTTCGATTACTACACCACTTTTGGGCATGGAAACCAGCGCTACCCAGGACCTTTGTCAATTCTTCACGGACGAGAACGACGTCTTCTACAGTTTCTTCTGAGTGAAAGATATCATCCATATACATATCTCGAAGCAGGACCATAGCTGCTGCTGGGTAGTTCTCTTTAAATTCTAGGGCGTGGCTGCGAAGCACGAACTGGGCTAGATAAGGGGATGCTCTGTCTCCAAAGGTTGAACGGACTGCTTCATAGACATCCACAGGCTTTGTGAGATCGAGATCTCTTCATAACAGTCTGTGATACTTGCGGGCTTTCTCAGCGAGGACCACTTGGGGAAACATTTCCTTGATGTCCGCTACTAGGGCGACAGGTCTCAGTCTAAATCGTAGAAGTATCTCCAGGACATCTCGTTGAAGTTTAGGCCCAGTAAGCATCGCATCATACAAGGAAACGCCCTTGCAACGTGCAGCCGAGTCAAATACTATGCGTACTTTAGTGGTCTCACTGGAAAGTGTGGAAGGTACCAGCTTGGACCGTCCTCTGCCTCGTAAGATTCTAACTGCCGAATGTAGCCCTTCTCGACATTCGCATTCATTGCTTCTTTGCAACGTCTCGCAACTTCTGGCTTCTTGAGGTGTTTTTTCCCAAAGAGAACAAACGTTTCTCTGCTTCTTCTCTATTGTCAGGTAAGGAGGGCAACCCTTCCTTTCGTAACGGCCCCCGATCCATCGTCTTGACTTTTCGACCTTTGATATAGCTAAGATCTCCTCCTGATTCAACTGACTATCGTCTGAATTTCTAACTCCAAGTGAGTCGATCTCCCACATTCCTCGTAGTTGTTCATCGAGACGGGTCTCGCACAAGGTCTGGATCCGAAAGGTTCTGGCGTGGGCAACCCTTTTAGCTGACGAAAGGGCGGGTAAACGTCCAACACAGGTCCACCCCAATAGCGTTTTTCTTGCTTCTGGCGCTCCAATTCGACCATAACATTCTGTCAAGGCTAACGTAAGATCAGGATGGTCTGATCCGATCAGAATGTCAGTCGTTTTCCTTTCAGAGGCTTTAGGAAATGGAATTTTTTTAGGTGTTCCCATTTGACCTTGTGCTGATTTCAGTCTGGAATAGACAAGCCTTGACACATTTCAGTCAGTGTCCATGCTTCAACAGTAGATTGAGTCTCCCCATTGAGACTCTTTATCGTCAGCGGGACTTTCTTGCTTTTGAGAGGAATACAACTGTCTGTCAAGGTTGTCGATCTGAGGGTTTGTTCATCAGTCTCGAGGCCAAGGGCTGTTAAGATGTCATCTCTGACGTAAGTTGAATCATCTGACCCGTCGTCTAAGAAGGCATTGACTTGGATGCTTTGACCCTCCGGGCCTATAAGCCATACAAAAACTGTTCGCAATATAACATCCCCTGCAAACTCAGAGTCGCCGAAAGCGCTTCGTGTTTTTACAGCAGTGTCTACACGTTCAGGCGGATTAGATCGACGTACGAAGTGCAGATGGAAGTGATGGGTGCCTCTACAATCATTGATACCACAGCGATTGTTTTCCGGACAATTCTTCCCCTGATGGCCTGATCTCAAGCAACGATAACAAAGTTCATTCTTTTTTGCGATTTCCTATCTATTCGCAATGGATGTTTCACTCCGGTTCTTGCATGAGGTTACTTGGTGAGGTTCATGACAGACAACACATTTGGGTATGGGCTCACCAGTAAAGTTGCGAATTGTTCCTTTCTCACGCTTGTATTTCTTAGACCCGATTTTATCTTCTTTCTTTTTCCTTGTTCGCTCCTTAACTTCTTCGACGTCCATACGATAAACTACTTGCTTCTGTAACCATTTAGAAAATAAGAATAGTCCATCCTTCCTGTGCAACCACTCTTGGTACGCGATAAGAGGAGACTCTGATAACTTTTGCTGCACTGCGATGTAAAGCGCAGATACTCCTGCTAACTCTTGATGCTGGTCGCTATCCTTAAGCTTAGCCACAACGTCAGTTAAACGATCTGAGAAAATCTCCAACTCCTTTAGGTTAGTCTCTTCGACAGGAGACGCACGCAAAACGGCTTCGAGGCGACGTTGCAAAAGTCGCTTTTCACCCCCGTACTTCTCATCAAGTTTCTCCAAGGCAGGTAATTTAGTGTTAACAACTGAGTTGAAAACGTAAATTGGCCATCGTAAAGGGTAAAAAAGCTGATGTTTCCGTTAGCCCTTCGTCAATCGCTCTGAGGAAGGGCTAACGCTCAAAACCCCCTTCATTCATTTCTACAAGGCAGTTTGATATTGTCTAGATGTGTAGCCTTACCGCTCACCAACTCCTAATAGCTTGCCAGACAGAGAATTCTTCAACATCATCATCTTTGGTTTTAGCTGGCACTTTCATCCGATCGACGAATATTTCAAATTTCGCTTTCCAATCGTGATAAAGGTCTTTATCTCCGCTGAAGACGGTTAAAGCGGGTTTCTTGATTCCTTTGAACAATCCGTCAAAATATTTCGAGTCGAATTTGCCTTTGTCTAGTTCGTCTTCTTCAGTTTCTTTCTCTTCCGAGTTAGAATCTTTATTGCTGAATTTAGGAGCTGATTTATTCCCTTTTTACTGAGCAGATTTCGACAGTAATTCGACGAACTTCTGTGCTGAGCTGACAACTTGCGAATCATCAAACGATTCCGGACTCCGATTCCGACTTTCCTTTTCGTCAACTTTGCAAACTGCATCGGCGACCACGGAAATTTGTCCTATTACTGATGGCGGTTCATCTGCACGGCTCTCTAAATACTCCTCAAGAGTCGACGCTGTCCTCCACTTCGCTCTGCAAATTGTCTAACCATTCTCCTGATTCTGCTCGCTTAGTCACATCATCGCTTTGCAAGGCAATTACGTCTTGCGTTGTTTTACACGCATCTTGTAATGCTTGAAAAACTCTTTCCTTTACGGTTCGTGGCACCGTTCTACTACCTTTCTAGCTAATAATATCATTTACCTTCTATGAACTCTTCGTAACGGCTCCTTTGGACGCTGCCCATCTTCGAAGAAGATACTCGACTTGCTGCGAAGTCCATGTTTCGATGTCCTCTTTGCTGATTTCCGAGGGCGTTTTGGATCCCACTTTCGACGCCATTCGAAGAATCAACTGTAATTGATCCGGCTCGAAGGACCAAAATGTGTTTCGACGATAAATTCTACAACTATCACAAAATTCGAAACGAAAACGCAGCGACTTAAGGTACTGTTTCTTTGGCTGAACTCTACGACTGCTGAACAACAACTAACCAACTGACACAACCGATTCGAATATTAATTAGTTAAGACTTAAATTCTAGCATGCAGCGTTTTGTTCGGCCGTCCCAACGGACGGCGTTAATGTTAATGACCAAACGTTCGCCGGAACAGCCCCAGTTTTGTAACTTGACGAAACCCTCGCCGGGACTGCACCCCATTCCCAAAAGCAGTCATGGCCGAGCTTAACTCGCATTTTGCGCGAGGTGAGGAAGTCGGTGATCCAAGAGATGAAAGCCTCAGCCAAAAGTTCCCGTTTTGACTAACGCAGTCAGAAGTTTACTCAGTTGATCGGAAGCATTATGATTAAGTGCTTAATTGTTCAGAACGAAAGTCTCGTGAAATTGTTTGGTTTAGCGTTCTAACAAAAAAATGTTTGATCTTCCCGGGTTGGCCAGCTGGCATGCCTACCAATATGGGTCAGTAGCGATCATATACGCATTTTCGTTAGAGTTTACTTGAAAGAGAATGGAGATAAGAGAGAAAAGAGAGTGGAGAGAACAATGAGAAGAGAAGACAAGGAGACTGTAGACGGTGTGCAGTAGGGTAGAGTCACAATTCCGTTGTTGAAGAGGTATCCTGTGAGAGCTTAAGATATTAACCAGAGTTACACCGAATGAAATACGCTTGGATGTAAGTGGAATTGTGTACTGGAGAACCGAGCAGTTAAAGAAGGCAGAAAAAGACAATTCGAGAGTCTTGGTGCTTTTCGCCGGGCGTGGTGTGCTCGATAGCTAGTCCCCGCCACACCTCATTGATGGTTTAGTATAAACTACGGTGTTTTACAAGGATTTCTAGCTCTGTGAAAAGCGTAACTACTTTCGAACTAACGAGTCTTCTGCTCACATTCGCTGAACAGTCCATCCACTCGTAAAAACTCGTGGAGAGCTGAATGAATTAACCCTGTAGGGTACAAGTGTATTCTAGTCTTTTTATTCTTATCCCTTGTCTGCCTGATATTCTAGTGACATTGTGCGGAAAAATTCTGTATCATCACTCATGGGAGTTAAAGGGTGAAAACTACTTGAAAGCTCTGAAGAATGTCAATGATCCGAGTGAATGTATAGGCTCAAATTAAAAACGTCAAATATCATATTTCAAACATAACTTGTTGACAGAACTGAGATCTAACACATCTTTTAATACATTATCCATGTCAAAACAGATACCACGTAAGTTGTAGAATATAAGATAAAAATGAACAAATAAATAATAAATACAACAAATAAATAGCATTTGTTAACAGTGTAAACCATTCCAATGTTCATCAGCCTATGTACAATTTAATCACCGCTCTACCCAATTACACACTGTTTCATAGTAGATCTAACAGCCTGGTGACAACCTGTAAGGAATGAACATAAGATAAAACCCTGTCAACTTAACTTTAAGACAACAGATGAGAAAAGAGATGTCACGAAATGCGAAGACACCCCGGAATGTCTGTATAGGGCCTGCTAACCCAGGGAGTAGTCAATGAAAAGCACGCAACTACTTGTTCCTTGGGAGATCAACGGAACATTAAATTAGGAAAACTATTCAGTGTGTTCCTTTTTCATCAATCTCTTTTTGCTTCTGATCAATTCATCATTTAAAATCATTAAATCATTGGAAGCTTCAAAGAAAAATGTGTAATTTCAGAAGGTTGATAGAACATTTATAAAAATGCAGCATTCCTATGTCCACGTTTAAAAATTCCCAATACACAGTCACCGATATCGCTTCGCTAACATCAGTCACTTCATAGTAAGACTCTGAGAACTCAGAATGTCTTATCAGGCATAAAATCATCTTTCTTCATTAGTGCTATTTTGTTCTTCTCCTACCCTTAGTATCAATACGACAATACTTACGAGAGCTTTCTCACCCACTGGTCCCTTTCTTTTAGAAACTTTGACAATGATGGCAGAAAGAGAAACGATTGCCATGTACATGCCGCTCACACTCCTGAGGTAAAATAGAAAAGTTCCAGCCTAAGAAAATCTTGTCTTAAGAATAGCATCAATACTGTCTGAACAGCTCTTCACAACATTCACAATTTCTGGTAATTTATTTACCTGCTGCATCTCTGCCACTCTGGCTCCACACCTTTACTTGTTGCAGCTTTCAATTGCATCCACCAGCGTTTGACCATTTCCCTGATCATGTCCAGTCCAGCAATAATGTAACTATAGAATAAAAGTTTAACACTAATCACTTTACAGCCACTCAGCTAACTTTGCATGCCTGTTACCTACTTCATGGTAATTACTACATGTGACTTGAAAACAAGACCTTCATCTACTGTTTCTACTTTGAGTATGTATTGCAAGTACTTCTCCTTAATGTGAGTTATTAAATTATTATTCATGAAATAAAATTGACTTTTAGAAATACCCATGTTTTCACATCTTTTTTCTGCATAGTAGTGATTCTCTAGTTTTAAAAATTAAGTCCTTTCATTTGTCAAATCATTTTACATCATATTTTCATTTCCAGTGGTAACCTTTCAGAAAATATCAGATGCCTTGGTAAGTCTTGAAAATTACAACTGTGTGAGGATGTGCAAAGATTACATTTTTGGGGGTTAACCATAAATAAATCTTTCCCTAACAAGTGAGTTCACTGAATAGGTGCCATAACTCACTCTTCGAATTTAGATGTAAGGAGTCTCTCAAGTGCAGGTAAAATTTCTAGACATGCCCCCATTGACAAGGCCTGTCCTTCGGGTGACACATCACGCACTCTGCTGACAAGAAAAACATGTTGTCATGACATTGAATAAATTTAAAGCCATTTGTTTTTCTAATTTCTAGTCAATTATTGTTCAGTACTTTCCTTTTGATGTGGAACCTCAAAAAGGTATATTTTGAGGAAGGAAAGACAACAAACACCACTGAATTTTTTAAGAAAGCTCTACAGCCCAGTTCCGATTCATAACAAACAACCAACAGCTATTGAGAAGTAAATTTTTTCTGCAGAAATTTATTCAGCAATCTTGCTTGGTTGGTCCATGACATGGCTACAAGAACTGAGGAACAATAGTAAATATCAAGGATATTTTTGTGTTCATAAGCCTGTATGAAAACTGTCATTTCTTAAAAGAGTTTAAAAAGATCTATCTGATAAGGATAAAGAAATATAGAAAACCCCTTCTGAAGCCTTGAAAAAACAGGAAATAAATAAAATGTCAACTGTTTCACATGCCCACTTCCCTCAACGAAATAGGAAAGTTACTCCCTGGTTTTTCTAGTCAGATGAGTTGGCTTTACACAGGCTAATAGAACATCTCTAAATCTGAAAACAAATCCTTGGAAACAAGGAAAGAGTGTGTAGGCTATCTGTGGGCTTTCCTTAGGTTGCCTTTATAACAATTTCACAAAATTTGCAAAGTTTCTGCATTAAAAACACCACATCTTCATAATCTTTTCAGTACAGGTAATCTCAGGATTTCAAGTGGCATTTTGTTAGTAAGGGCCTGTAAGGCATGAGTTGTTGATCCCAACTTGTACCTTTATAGCTCATAGTACCAATTAGTAAAATCTTTTCAGACTTCTTTTCCACAGTGTCATTTCTCTACTTAAATGTTACTGGGGTCAAAATATTATTTATTTCATTTGACTGTAAATATACTTAAGTTTTCATCTAAAACTACAACTAACTTTCTGTGGACTCAATATACCCCCGCTAATGCCCTGATCTCCTCCTCTTGCTATGCAGAAAAAAATTTTATTTCTATAGCATTCCCATGTTTCTACAATGAAAAAACCCAGCTAGTTTCAAGTGTTTTATAGGGAAAGAAACAAGACAGACAAATTTGCCATGTATAGAAAAAAAGGTTGCAGTGTTACTCAAGGGAGTGACACATTTGCCTCTGTGTCATACCTTGAGTAGAAAAAGGGCAATCTTACTTAGCAGATGCACAGCATGTGATTAACACACATGCAAAACTAGTTACTTAACACAACAGTTTTGTATTTTCTTCCACACACATGTACCTGCATGTCAGAAATGGCATGATGTCAACCAGCACTGCATCATCTTTCAACCTAAATGATTAGAAGTGCATACAAATAAAGAAAAACCCCAGATAACTTGTTCATCAGTCTCATAGGTGTCTCTGGAGGGTTAGGGTTACCACCATCTGACACTAATGTGCTAGTGGTTGTGGTGGCAAACTGGAGAATCTAGATTTTCAATAGTGGGTGTAGAGATTAGTAGGTTTTCAGTAGCCAATCTTCTGACTCAGTCTGTTAGGGTAGATAAGTGTAGTGTAAGATAATCATGATAAAATGTAAATATTTGTATTCATCTTCAATCTTAGAATTCATGTACATTTATTACTTATTCCTCCACTTCATCTTTTAGCCGTATTTAGAAGTGGTTTTCAAATGTGACAAAGTTTTTGGTTGGCTTTAGTTAGTAACTGCAAGTTGAGTTTAGAGTTAGTAACTTCAATTTGCAATTTTGGTAATGTTGGTTTGTGGAATATGAATTTTTCTTATTTTCTCACAACATTTTGGCCTCTACCAGAAAAAAAAAAACTATATTAGGTATACTATCCACTTGCTTTTACCCAAAAGAGCAACCATAAAGCATAGTAACTATATGCCATGTCTCACTAAATGCAATACTACCATCGATAACATGGTAGAACTAATGCCCAGAAAAACAACAGATATCACTGCATTTTGACTTTACCAATTGAAAAAGATTGTCTCAAAATGTCAGCAGTTCTTATCTGTACTTGTACATAATTGCAACATACCCTTGTGCCACAATCTGAATGGTGTGAACAGTGAATAGTGAGCCCATGTAAATTCAAGTGACAAGAGAGAGGAAAAAATCAGTTGAAACACTAGGTAAGCAGTGTCTACTTAATGACAGCTTGAAACACCAGAACAATTGCCTAATCATTTTGGTGCTGAAGTGCTGAGGCTGGGTTGGAATGTACAAAGACCCGACAGTCATCCAGGTAAATTGCATGCCACATAGCTTACCGCAGGAGATACTCTATCAAAGCATTGGTGTCCTGTTTTAAAACATAAAGTAAGGATACTTATTGGACAATCAGACATGGTTTTATGCTACTCTGCTTTACAGATTTAATGAATGTAACTGAAGAAGTTACAATTCCTAGACCCAACATTTATAATCGTAACTTCTTTGTGAATTGTAACTTCTTCGGTTACCTTCATTAAATCTGTAAACCAGAGTAGCATCAAACCATGTCTGATTTTCCACCTGGTTGCCATGTGAACTTTAATATAACTTATTGGACAAAAACAAAACACAAAAAAATTGCCTCACTACATGCACTGTACATTAAATTTGACCATAAAAATGGAACTGAATGCACAAGGCTTTGATAGATCAAAATTTGAAAATGCCCTTTTGTCTGTTGTAACTCAGAACTTGAATGTGAAGTTTTCTTACACTGCAAGTAGTTTGTTTACATTTTGCACCTTCAAAGCAGTCTGCTTGAATCAACCACAATTTACCCTACATGTAAATTTACTAGTTAAAATGGAATTGGACTCAGAATTGATTTAAAGTAAATGGTCTCCCTGATTCTCTTCTGAAAAATCAAAATACCATAAAAACCTGCAGATAAGCCACACCTTTTTTTAAAAAATTGTTGCTAGAAATTGGAGGGTGCAGCTTATCTGCAGGAACATTTGAAAAAGGTGTTGTGAATGTCAACGCCAATGTCCACTTTTGCATCCAATCTAATGCCTGGTTACTAAGCTTTGAATGTTCCGCTCCTGTTCTTGTTGTAATGCAAAAATCTATGGAAAAACCTGTGTTGAATGAAGACATTCCTGTCAACAATTCAATCATATGTCAAAGATCATATGCAAATTCCTATGAAAGATCAATCATATGTCAAAGTTGGTAGAAATGATGTTCATTATATTAGAGTGCTAAAATTGTGGGTAAATTAAGACTTTGAAGTATTTTCCATTGCAATGTTAATAGTGAGTTACGTTTGATTAACAGTGAATGAAGAAGACATCTCACGACTCGACTTCGGATTTCTTTTGATTTCTTTCAAAAAACTTTTTTTCCAAAATTGAGCAGCTAAATTCAGGGTGTGGCTTATTTGTGGGTGCAGCTTATCTGTGGGTTTTTATGGTACCATTGATGGGACAATAAACCCAACTTATTTCTAGACACTGGTTTATTCACAGAAATTTAATAATATAAAGTAATGCACTATTTTGTGTATTTTTCACAAGCATAGGGTGGGTAAATAGTCTTAATTTATATATCATTAACAAATACCTTGTGCCAAAGTGTTTGAGCTGCTTTCAATCTAAGAAGTCTGCTTTGTAAAACACTTATCATTGTCCCATGTCCCTTGGCAATCTAAATTTCATATAACAATAGGAGATATAATAAAAAATGAAGAAATCTCAATTACATTAAATCTTTCATGTTTCACCATGGTGGGAGTTGTATCAATAGTTACATGTGCTCTGTATTTTCTCTACCATACTCAGTTTTGCTCTACAGGAATTATTTGTTTTCTTCTAACCTGAATTACTTGAAATAACACACAAGGTATTTGTATGTAATTGGTTGGTTTGTTTAATACAAAATATAATAAAGGACCTTATTTCTTGTAACTGAAATTAATGACTTATCTGCATGCAAAAAGAAATATAATTTCATCCTTCAACTTCTACATTTTACAATATATTTAATGCCAGAGCTAAGAGAAAAGAAGGAAAACTCACCTCTTGAGCTTCATTTTCTGGTTGTAAGGAGCAAAGACTTTGACTTTTTGTGACTATCTTTTCTTAAAAAATTAAAAATACAGACAAAGACTTGAATTGCTATCATTGACACCATTTAGGTTCTGTATATAACTGACAAATAGTTAACAGTTATATGCTGACACATGTATGCAGAACAGAAGGTGAATGGTGGTGGTTAGGGGGGCTCAGTAAATTTCTATCACTTTCACCCAAACAAAGGTGAATATATATATATATATATATATATATATATATTAATATAATACAGAAATAAAAAAAAATGTTTCTTTCTATCAGTTTACAGAAAAATGGTTAGGATTTCTCTCTGATATGTGATTTTGCCAATCAGCATGCAAAAAAAAGCAACATTTACCTGTGTGGTATATACTACTGACCATATACTACCTCAGGGTATTAGACAGAACTATAATAGGTAGCCAAAAGCTAACATGGATCTTACAAATAGTGTATGACCACAGTAATGTTTTTGAGTGCATATGTATACAGAAACACATACTGACACTTATTGACTAAATTTTTTTTTTTTTAAGAAACACATCACATTCTTACCGTTACTTTCATCATTAAAAAAATTTCCCTGCTTTTAGCAAAAAACGTATGTTAGAATGTTTAAAGAGTATTCATCTGCACGCCTACCTTTCTTAGTTGTGATCACATGAGTTTTCAAGTCCTCTTGGGAAATATGTTTCCTGAATGAAATCTAGAAGAAGAAGTAACTTGTTTTACTTCAAATAACTTCTCTTCTGTTTAGTTTCATTTTCTATGTTTAAGTATGGAGAATATTTCACATATTATAATAAAAGAAGACCAAGACACCCAATATGTCTTTAATGTTCCTTTAGGTTCATTTATGAAAAGGTTAACACTTAATAAAGTAATGTGTAAATAAGATAACTTTTACCACCAAACTCAATATGGATGAAAGATTTTTCATTTTCATTCATTTTCCAAGAAACCATTGAAAACCCAGCCGATATTCATAACAAAATCATAACCTCACTGTAATGAAAAATTACAAATAATAAAGTATAATAATAATAATAATAATAATAATAATAATAATAATAATAATAATAATAACAGAAATCAAAGTGGCCATGAGCCTCTGAACTCAGAATAGAACGCTGAGGTCAAGCAACAGAATTTGTTTCAATCACCAATGATGGCTACATTTTAATACGCTATTATAAAAAATCAATGTTGTAACAGATGTTCTTCTCACTCAATCGAATCGAAGTCGATTGAGGTGTCCACCATACAACTTCTTTCAGCTGAAAAATTAGTAAAGTAAATTTCCACTCCATGGAAGTTTTTTTTTTGTATGTAGCAAGGGCGAGTAATTTAGTAAACGGGCCGCCTCTCAGTTAGCTTATGTAAACGCTGTTAGCCACCTTGACATCTGACGAAGAATGGACCAAGTTCAAGTTTTCTACGGTTCCGAAACCAGACACTGTATTACGACAATTTTCATCTATCCATCTGTATCGTGAAATAGCCCAATCATAGCGAAAGAAGCGAAGCTCACGATCATTTTTTCTGTTGTTTCTTACTGCCATTTCGAAATCGGCTGATCGCAAACATCATACCCAAATATGGTAGCAAGTCATAAACTGGTGCGCCTGGAACATATTTAAAAGTTTTGTTTACTTGCAGGAAATGGCGAGGGTTACACTTGCTTCCAAACATGAATCACGTAATCGGCCATTAGAATTCAGTAGAATAAAGTGCATTCAGTGCTCGGGATTAGTAAATTAGTGGTTTACAATTAGTCTGCGTCGCAGATTGAAGCGCTTCGAAATGAGAAGTTTCTGCTTTTTGGCACCTGTCCGACCTCCAGCCCTCAATTTTTAAAAGACGTTCGTTTTTACTCGAGTAAGCACTACATATAGAAAAGCCGGAAATGAAGCTTAATAAAAGCACTCATAAGGTTCGACTTTGTCTAGCTCTCCTTCCCAACCATTCTTAGATTCGGTACGCGGCCGCTCAAGGAGGTGCCAGTTTGGTTGCGAGTTGCCATTGTAATGATGGCCTGGTGTCTAAGGTGGGGCTTGGACACTTAGCCTTGACTAACGCTGTCGACCAATTTCAACGAGCAGACGGAGGAAACCAATTGAATGTGTTATCTGGACTGCGTAGTGACATGGCATTGAATTTCCGTATGGATTCGGTGGAGCTTTTGAATCAGGTTTGTGCGTAAGACTGAAAAATTGTAACGACAATTACTTCTGGAGAATCTAATCAACGTTTTTGTTATTGAGCAATGCGTATCCATTTTGCCCATCTGGACTACAGCCTTGTTTGAGTTTTCCCAAATAATTTAGTATGAGCTCCATTACGAACCATAACTTTTGCTCTTTAAACGGGTAAATACCAGTAACTAGCCATTCCACTCTTTTACGACATTATACTGGCCACACAATTCACGCGTTATGCGACAACGAAAATTATGTCGTAGTTTTCCACACGGTACCCGAAAGGTAACGCCAGTGAGATTTTTGATAAATCTAAGGCTTCTAGTCAAGGCCATTACTATTCTTGGCATTCCAAAATATTGCATATTTCAATGTATGCCATCTGATATTAGTTCTCCCGAAGCTTGCTTGTTTCGGCCCGCAAGACTAAAGCTACGTTCACACGGTACTGGACGAAATTTCGACCGGCCGAAAATTTCGACGGGACATTCTGTCAACGTGGAACCGTGCGAAAGTTTCGTTCTGTTCAGATTGAGTTGATAACCGGATGAAGTTTTTGACATTCGTCTATGGTTTTACCGTCTCCTCGTGCGCAGAACACTTCCTAACCCAATGAGGAATGGCTTCCCGAAAAAGAAAAACCAATTCGAATAGTAGCAGGTATAACGAATATTTCACCTGGACGGATGAGGAGACAGCAATACTGCTTAATGTTGCTTTATCATATACAAATGAGAAAACGAGTCAGGGAAAAGAATGGGAATTGATAAGAACAAGGTTTGAGGAATCACATGAGATTTTCTTCAAAAGATATCCAAAAAACAAGGAAGTATGCAATAAAGCTGTTTATAAAATAATTCAAATAGTATGCGCACTCTGATTGGCCATAAAACCATTTAACATGAGTGTATGTAAACATGGTTTTTGTTCCTCTTTCATTAGTTATTTTATAAAAGAAATGTAAAATGGTTTCTGTGTTTACATAGCCTGATGTAAACACTTGGGAGGTTGGGAGAACACTCGATAAGCTGGAAACCACTCTGCTTCGTGTCGTGGTTTCCTACACTTATCTCGTGTTCTCCCAACCTCCCGCGTGTTTACATCAGGCTATGTAAACATGGAAACCATTTTACATTTCTTCAATATTACCAAGGTCTGCAATCAGTAAACCAACATGCTCCATTTTTGTATAAAATTTTAAACACGGTATTTATCTTATTAACCTCACATCCATGTAGCCACACCTTTACTGCATGAAAATTTAGATGATTAAGGTGTCCACACCATGGCGGTGTCAAATTATTGGCTGCACTGGCTGAAAAATTGTCCTTGATTTTGGTGTCCAAATTTTTGAATGCTTGGGTGTCCAAATTTTCATACATTAAGTGTGATTCCATGTGAATGAAATGCTTGAACACATAAATTTTCCACTGTTTGAAAATTCATCTGGTATGGTGTGAACATTGCCTAATATGTTTTTACCCAAATTATAATAATATACATGGAAAAATTACTTAGTTCTGATTGGTTGAGATAAATGCAGTTTTCAGGTAATTCAGTGCAGAAGAGAGTTAATTCAGTGCAGAAGAGGATTAATTCAGTGCAAAGAAAGTAACTGATCAGACATTCTGATTAGTCAATAATCAAAGAAACTCACAGATAGCCAAATAAATGCAAGCCTTGGATGTTGCAACAAAATTTGAAATTTTGCAAATTTGCGAGCGAAACAATGGCCAGCATTTTAAGAAGGTTTTCTTTCGCTACCGCAGCTGAAAAACAGCTCAAACAACAAAAACACTGTAAAAAGCACTGCTTTTTGGTTGTCGGTTTGGAAAAAGTGGTGTTTAGAGAAGGGAATTGCCAAGGAGATCGGAAATTATGAGCCAACCCAGCTTAACACTTTGCTGGAGCGATCCAATGCTGAAATTAAAAAAAAACATAGTTAAACCTCGGAAATGACGATTCCATTTCATCAAAAGTGATTCAGACACAGACTGAACAATTCCTCGAACTGTTTAGCTGGACTTTGAACTTTTTTGCACCTTAAAGATGTGAAGATATCATTGCATATTATTGCTTTGATCGTACGCAGTTGTTTTGACTGCTTATGCTCAATTTGACAAGCGCTCTCATATTTTTCCATGTATATTATTAACTTGTAATTATACAATTTTTCCCGTGCAATTTGGAATAAACAAGCACTTGTTAATTTTTTTTTAAAGACTACAAATTGCACTTGCCCTACTGGCTTGTGCAATTTTGTTGGTCTTTAAAGAAATTTACTTGAGCTTATTTATTCCAAATTGCACTCGAAATCATGTGATTACCTATACTAATATTCCTAACAATATACATGAAAGAATTACTCAGTTCTGATTGGTTAAGATAAATGCAGTTTTCTGATAATTCAGTGCAGAAGGGAGTTAATTTAGTGCAGAAGGGAGTTAATTCAGTGCAGAAGGGAGTTAATTCAGTGCAGAAGAGGGTTAATTCAGTGCAAAGAAAGTAAAAAATCAGACATTCTGATTGGTAGGTTTTCTTTCGCCACCATGGCTGAAAAACAGCTCAAACAAGGAAAACACTGTAACAAGCACTGCTCTTTGGTTGTTGGTTTGGAAAAAGTGGTGTTTAGAGAAGGGAATTGCCAAGGAAATCGAAAATTATGAACCGACCCTGCTTAGCACTTTGCTCGAGCAATCCAACACCAAAATTAAAAACAAACATGGTTAAACCTCAGAAACAACTATTCCATTTCATGGAAAGTGATTCAGATGCAGACTGAACAATTCCTTGAACTGTTTAGCTGGACTTTGAACTTTTTTGTGCCTTAAAGATGTGAAGATATCATTGCATATTATTGTTTTGATCATATGCGGTTGTTTTAACTAAACGCACAGTTTGAGTAAATTATTTTTGCACTTGATGCATGTACTTTGCTTATGCCTAATTATGATAAGCTATCTCTTATTTTTCATGTTTATTATTAACACGTAATCACATGATTTTCTCATGCAATTTGGAATAAATAAGCACTTGTTAATTTTTTCAAAGACCACAAATTGCACTGGCCCTATGGACTCATATAATTTTGGTAGTCTTCAAAAAAATTTACTCGTGCTTATTTATTCCAAATTGCACTTGAAATCATGTGATTACCAATACAAATAACCAAATCACTTTATCAGTGAAATTTTTCCTTCCATGAGGGTCTAAACTGCAGTTTTACAGTTGCACTATCCTCCATTCAGTACAGTGTGGTGTATTGTCTCAGCACAGAATGAAATTTGAAATTGATTATTTACATCAGTATTCACTTCTGCAATCCTTCACTTAGGAAATTTTTGCTTGGTTGAATTTCAGAATTTCTTTTGGTCAGAAAATAGTATAAAATAGAAAGTCAAAGACTGCATGTGGCCACTGATATTGCACAATTTTTATGACATTGGAAAGAACTAAAGGTTGTATAATGTTGCTAGATGGTAGTGTTGCAGAATATTTGTCTCACATGCAAAACAGAAAAGGTGCTTCATCCCACATATAATGAGTACTGTCTTCTATAAGAGAAAGATGATTCTAGAATATTTTATGTAACTGACTTTCAACCAATAGTTAAATGATAACGAATTATAGTTTTCACTATTACAATAATGATAACAATAGTAATATAATAATAGTTAAATGGGGCTAGCTCAAAAAACCTAATGGTTCCCCTATCCTCTGGTCTCCAACAGTGAATACTTATGCTTCTTTTAATTTTGCCTGTAAATTATAAATGAGTTCTTATTTCACTGCAATGCCATTTTTTTGCAACTTTTGTTTCATACAAAAAAGCATTCTGGGTTTTGGGATTTTCTGTCATTCCTCGTCTTCAGATATTCCGCCTTCCACTGATCTGGCATTGCTCTGTTCCATCATTATGTTGCATGACTTAAGGTATTGTATTTCCCAGCTTGCTGGCTTTGCAAATTTAGTGGGATTTTGGGGCCTAAATTGCTGATTTAAATGGTAAAATGCTCTCTTTTCATAGGTAAAAAATTTCCTCAAAGGTTGCATGGTGTGCAGAGATGTTTATCATTGTTTGTAATGTCACAGTAAGAACTGAAAAGATGATACCTTTGAATCCATATCATTTGCTGGTTTAAGCAGTAAAATTCTCTCTTTTCAAAGGAAAATTTTCCTCTAAGTCTCATGATGTGCCCATTGCTCCTACTAAGATATTTTTGTAAGGAAAACTTTTGTTTTTATTAGTGCACAATCCTAAAATTATTGTAAGATGTTTGTCCTCTTCTGCTGTCTTTCATAGTATCATAGGAAGAAGTGAAAACATCATGTGCCAGTGGCTACAAGCCTGAAATCAGAAAAGGAGTGAACTTATCTGAGTGTCATGTGGGATTTTCAAATTACTAAGATACTATGAAACAAACAATAAGTAGCACCTGTAAACATTGAAATTCTATTGTTACACTCATTCCCTTACGTATTTCTCTTGATGACTTATGTGGCCTCTCCAATAGGAGGCAGTAGCTACAAAAAATATGTGTTTATCTGCTGGGCATAATTAGCTGATTCAAACTGTAAAATGCTTGCTCTTCAAAGAAAAAAATTTTCCTCCGAGTTTTCATGATGGAAAAATCACTTTTAAGATATTTCTGCAAGAAAAAGCTTTGTTTTTTCATGCAGCATCCTGAAATTATTGTGAGATAATAATAAACAAACAATAAGTAGCTCAGGGAAACACTGGGTCAAAAAGTGGGTCAAGATTGGAATTCTATTGTTGCCATCACTCACTCCCTCACTCATCTCAACAACATACTGTATTTACTTGTGTACAAGTTGAACTTGTATATAAGTTGACCTCCCAATTTTAAGGTCAAAAATCGGATTTTTCATCATTTCTAGTTGGAAGAAGTAAAATTCAGACAGATAGAAATTTCCCAAAAGTTAATCTCTTATTCCTGGGAATGTGTTGAAAATGAAATCTTGCATTTAACTAACCTTTATCTTAATGTTGAGTGTGAAAGTAGATTAAGTAAACCAAAGGAACACAGAATAGCTTCAAAGGATTGCGCGTAAAAAGCAAGACCGCAAGAGACAATGGCATTTGCCAGGTTACCAAGCTGGTGTAATCATTCAATGAAATCAAAAGTTCAGCATTGTAAACAACAGCAAAGCTGTATGAAAAAAATGTCTCTACAGTCGGAAGACACAATAGCCTCGCAAACTTTATTATTTCAAACTTTTTTGCGGACGAAGAATACGCTGAAAGTGATGAAACACAAACACAATTCAAACTGGTTTTATAAACTCAGTTTTCCTATGGACTTCAGACAATTGTTGTGCTAATTTCTTGTATTGCTTGGGTCTTTGTGTATGACTCGTGTATAAGTGGAGGGTGATTTTTTGGGCTGATTTTTTGGTCACAAAAGGTTGACAGGTCGACTTATACACAAGTAAATATTTTATGTGGCTATGCCTCTGATAGGAGACAGTAGCCACAAAAACCTGCCAGGAAATGCAGATAGGATAACAGTGGCTTGTACTTTTACATGTACCTATACATGAATGAACTTAATCTCTGGAATATACCAAGAAGAGTGTTACAAATCCTAAGCTAAGCTGTGTGATTAATGGCCCCATAGCAAGTTTGGCCATTACAAGTTTGTCCCTACCACTACAATTTTCTCTCCATTGAAAACAAGAATATCATGACACTTCTATCCTTATGGCAGAATTTGTTTCATATCATTTTTAGTTTGCTTGTTGTTATTTGATTGTTCACCTAAAAGGTAGGTTTTTCAACAAATCTGTGTTTACAAATTAACACTTGCTGCACAGCAAAAATAATTTTTACGACAGATCCCAGGACATAAGGATTTTATCTTGCTTGGCAAGCGATTGGAAAAATTATAACACATGCTTGGTTTCTATAAATGTTTTGGCCAAGTGCAAAATATGGCTGAAGTGAAGTTTCTTTGTTAGGGGTGATTTTTCAAGGATTGGTTGTTCGTCTTAATTTTGGGAAAACTTGTCACGGTAAAAACATTCGTATAAAGACACCTTCTGTACCATGAAATCCAACCTTAACTCTAAGGTGATTTGATTTGGTAGGCTATTTTGCTTAACTTTGCATCTAGCTGTTGAGAAAATGCCCCTTAAATTTATTTATATACAGTGCTATTTAAATAAAGATGTTTACTTGAAACAAGTGTTCCATGCTGAACCATATGTTATACGACAGTGACACTTTTGAAATTCTCCCCATTACCTGACATTAATTGCTGATTGACTACATAACCACATGGATAGAAAAATGAGCTCAAAACCCCATGACCTGCTTGCTTCAAATTCCTTTGGTTGGTTTGTTATGTGCCAATTATAGTATGTAAGGCATATGCATGATTTCAGTGATTTTCTTGAGAGTGTGTCGAAGGATGAAGCTCAAATTGGGCATGGAGTTGAATAATGAATAACTTAAGAAGTTCTCTGTATTCTCAACAGATAGGAGTGTTAGCATTCATTAATGGTGGAGAGGAGGGAAAAGCTCTTTACAATGCATTTGTAACTGGTAGAGTTTGCTATGAAGTTTACAAAAGACTTTCTGTTTCCCAAGCTGATGTCCTTAGGGTAGGTTATATAATGGTACTCAAGGAGTTTCAGTTTTGTTTCTTCTCTGATTTTATTCAGAGACATTTATTACAATGTGTTCTTACAGAGTTCAGTCACTATAGTTCTTAAGGATTAACAGGTAGTCACAAGTAAGGACTATAACACAAACCTACTGACTTCAGACAATAAGCTTTAAAAATCTTCCTACATGTCATGAAACTTTAGTGAGCCATTAACAGCCCAAGACATTGACAGCCCCTGAGTGTAACCTTTATAAATAGGATATAGCTCAACATTTATAAAATAAAAGAATTTTCAAATACTTGTACAAGAAATTTGAAAAATGTAGTAAAACAAAATCACTTCAAGTCTCAAAGTGCTCAAAGTTCCATTTAAGAGTTACATTTAGTACATTTAGTAGAATAAAAGAGAGATTTTATACTTTGGAACAAAAGACATGTTTAAGCAAACTTTTTAAGCATCATGCTCTTAAGTCCTGTACTTGAGTAGCATGTACATTTTTATCTTGAAAAATTGTTGTGTAGTTGTATGAGACTCTTTGCAGAGATGAAAAGCTGATTCATATTAGCCATGAATTGTTTTGTTCTAAATTCTAATTGCATCATTGCTGTAACTGGAACTCAAGTGACAGAATATTTCGCTGTTTTCAGGCAGAGACTGTAATGCGAATCAGTCAGTATGTGAAGAGTCACCCACAAGCAAGCCAAGCACAATTAAAAGCTGAAGTGGAAAAGGAAATAAAGATATTTGCACAGAAGGTTGCTCAACTTGAGGGAATGTAATGGTTGAATGGGTCAGATTCATTATGCAAATGTAATTATTAGTTGTTAACAAATCCCTTCAACTGGCTGTAAATGGTGTATTTGTACAATTTGCGTTTGTATTTAAAATTTGCTATCACTTCTAAAGAAAGTTTTTAAATACTTTGTCTCTAGTTCTTGAAAACAATTTCAAATAGATTTAATACTTTATCAATAGTTGGTTTATGCAAATGATGCAAATTTGTATTGGAATTGAGTGTATTGGAATTGAAAACTTATAGGGTTGATAAAAATTTGATGATTTGTTATTTCAGAAAATTTAGCATCAACTGTCAAGATGGCCTAATTTAAATCATCAGCTATGGAAGGTACTCTCCCTCTGAGACCTTCCTTATGCATCTCTGACATACTCCTAAGATTTTAAAGCTAATTTGGTTAGTATTGAAAACTACCAGTCAATGTTAAATCCAAACAATCACTCCAGGGTGATGTGCCTTATGCTCATTGCCAAGCTGTTTGGAGGTGTATATAGAATTTTAAAGCTAATTTGGTTATTACTGATAACCACCAGTAAATGTTCAGTCCAAACAACCTTCTCAAATGGATGTGTCTAATGCCTATTACTTAGCTGTTTGGAGGTGTATGTAAAAAATTTTAAGAATAATTTAAGTACAGAGCTTTACCTGAGGTGAAAGGGTTACTGTAATGGCTGTAGCGGGTTTCTTAGTTAATTGTTTACTTGTCACTTGTTAAAGTAATAAATTGGTCACCCATGTTATGTTATGTGTGAATGCTTCTCTTTTGGTTCATGAACCTTTTGTCTATTCTCTGAATTATCTTGGCAAGTCCCCCACCCCCTCCGCTACCAATTTTACACCCCTATCCTGTTCTAGTGAATTATGAATGTACCTTGGCAGAGATACTTGAGATCAGGGGGTAAATTACCCAGTGAGCTGGCATTTAATAACAATACTCTTATATGGTGAACAGCAAAGCAAGCAGGTAGGGGTGTGGGATGTAAAAAAAACCAGAAACAAACAAAAAACCAGAGTCAAAGAGTCACCAGGTTCATTGTTTGTACATTTCAATACTCAAATCTTCATTTGAAAAACCACATGCTTTCTTGATTCCATTGCATAACCAATTTAAAGTCACAAAAAGTACACTGCGAGCTGAAAGATTTAAACCAACATTGAGATATAATGCCACCACAACACCAACAGTAATGCCAACCAAATAATTTAATATATGGCAAAAGGAAATGACTTGACAAAATGGAATAAACAGGGATGAAAGGTACATTTTTTTTGCTCAGGATACATCCATTTGAGGTGTCTGCTGCTACATGACTGTATACTGATCATGTAGGACTGGAGAGCACAAGACTTGGGATAGGTGACCGGTACATTTAGTGTTCTCATGTTAGCCAGTAGAGTTAACTATTCCATTCTGCTGAGGGGCAGGGTTTTGGTTTACTCTGAAACTTTAGTATGCCTTTCAGTGGCAGGTCCAGGGAAGGGGTATGTGGGGCTCCCCACCTCCCCTTCCCATCAGACCTGTGACTTTTTCGCCACTTGTCAGACCCCAAAATTCTTGCACTGAGGAGATGGCGTGTTACTACACAACATAGAGTATTAATTATCTACCTTTTTTTATTCCATAGTTCTATGCTTCTTTAGACTGCAATGTACAAAGAATTCTAAGTTTGTACCCCTAGCCATAAAAAAAGAACGGTTGCTTGCATCAAAAAAATTGAGGCGGTTTGCTGTTATGTGAGGACTACGGATAGACTTAATGCGCAGTTCACATAAATGGTTTTTCATATATTCAGAGCTATTTATTCATCGCTTCACGTGTTTATTGGTAGAGAATCGCAGAGGTCATGGGTTTAAATTCCGAACAGGCCTTAATTTCACGACTGCCTAAGTAGTGTTCATTACTGCGAAGATCGCTTTCAAATTTATCCATAGTCCACCTTCCTTTCTTTCTTGGAAAATTGACCGAGAATCCCCTGGGAACGAGACTGACGAAACTTAAGGAAAGCAGGTGGCCTTCAGTTCGCATGCGTATTTGTAACAAATAAAAAGTTACCAAGTCAGAGTTTGAGTGATTGTGTTAGAGAACAGCTGACTAAGTCTTTCGAGGTTTGGCTACCTGGGACATTGACCGAAGAAAGATCATGTCCGAAAGCGGTCAAAACCTCGAGAACTCGCACCAAGCCAGTTTCCATTCGTGCGACTCCTCTCAAAAGGAAACAGCCGCGCTAATGGGACGTTGTATGAATAAGTGTAAAGGAGAAATCCCTATCGGTGAAAAGGCCATATGTCCATTGAACGCAAAGCATGAAAGTTTTGCTGAAGAAGTGGACCATAAAGAATCTCTAAATCCCTTTCAGTCAGAAAGTTGTAAAATGCAGCGAGAAAAGGGTGATACTGATGGGAAAACTCAGAAAAACCAAGTATTTGAAAGTTTTTCGTCGGCAACTTCCCTCAAGTGTACGTCATGCGAAGCAACCGAGACCGGATGCGAGAGTGGGCTAGAAGTAGTAGGCGGCATACGAAATTACAATTCTTTCGCTAGCGAAGCAGATGAAAGTGGAAAAAATTCCCACAATGATCCAGAAATAGAGTCAAACGGGAATGACCAACAACCAGAGAAAAGACTGAACGAAGACTGTTTGAGTATGAGTGAACAAACTGTAGTATCATCCGAAGAGGGATTGAACTCGATCGACGGCAGGAAATCAATTGAACAGCGATCACCACAATCAGAAAGTGAGACACTTGTCCCTGAAACTAATGGTTGTTTGGGAAACGGTGAAAGGATCCCTAAAGAAGAGCGATTTGACTATACAAAATACATACCGAGTGAAGACCTTAAAGAGGATTTTCTTAAGTCGATTGGCAAACCTTCAAATGGCCAGGTGTACGATACCAAATGCCAATTCACAAGTTATCCATTTGCCTTACAACAGTGGCCTCTAGAGTACCAATTTGCTCCTCAGTTTCAAAACCCCAATGGCTACCAGTCCACTGGAGTACCACAAACTTTTTTGTCCTTCTCCAACATGTACAATATGATTCCTGCAGTATCAACAGGTCAGGCTTCGTTCACATGCTCATATGGGTTTCATGACCAAACTGGTGGACCAGGGTCCCTACAGTCACCAGGTCAGGGGTATGACTATTGTGTTTATCCAGCAGCCAGGCCCAGCTATTATCGATCCCTCTCCAGACGCAGAAATTTCAACAATTCATTTCGTCACAGCAATCACAAAAACCATGACTCCAATAATTATGAAATCCACACTGAGAACTTATTGAATAATTTCAACCAACCAGAGATTAGCTTGGGAGAAGGCCATCATCTGAACAAGGTAAATAACACTGAAACTAATGATAACCTTCCAATCTCTCTCTTTTTATTCATAAAAGTGGGTGTAATGATCAAAGTAAGCCATTATTACTTTCTAAGGTCAGTAAAAAAGATGTCCACTTCGAGGAGAACCCTATTGAAGATGGTGATATCCAAGAACATTTTGTAGATATTGGTGAAGTCCCTGCCAAACAGGAGTCAGAAGTTTCTGGAGGTAGCAGGTCGGTGAATCTTCATTCCTCCCAGGATGACTTAAAGAAAAGTGAGATTGAAAAACAGATTCGGAAGATTAAAAAGAAACTGGCAGAAATTAGTGGCTTAGAGGAGAAGTACTGCAAAGGGGCAAAATTAGATTGCGATCAACTGAAGAAATTGTCAAGGAAGAGTGAGTTTGAAGATCAATTGCAATCACTCAACTTATCATAGCATTATGGTAAGTCTCCTGATAGTGATGTTGCTTACATTAAGTAGTAACAATTACTAGTGACTGTAACAGAGTTCTTTTATTAACATGCAATTTTTCTTTCTGTCATATGAAAATCTGTACTGTAATTGATGCATAGCCCCACTAATTTTGATTTAGTTTTTGAAGAGATTACCTGTAGATGCAATGATAATAACATGCACAGACTATCTCACTTATCATTTATTGATATCCATTGTCTGCAGTAGTCTTTGGAAAAAGAGCTTACTTGGTCTTACACTTTCAAAACGTTAATGGTTATACACAATCTTGAAGTGTCATCATCTGTTCTTGAACAGTTTCCATTCATAATCAGATTGATTCAGTGAGCCACTCAATTTGAGATTGTTGTTGTATATTTTCTTTGCAAATCTCTTCCTTAGGCTATCAATCTGTCAAGCTTTCTTAGTTTTGGTGAAGCTCCTGTCTCATTCTCTGCTAGTGCGTGGTTCTTTGTTTACTTTCAAAGGTTTCTTTAACAATGTTACATTCTGTTTTGAAGTTGTCTCAGTTGTGGTTGTGATAGGGCTTTCACTAAAAGGGATGTTATCTTGATCATTATTTTGGTTTCAATTTTCATCCCAACCCCTTGTAATGTAACCCATGAGCAGGGAGTTCATATGCCATTCAGAAAGAGTTAATCCAATATTACTCCATAGATGGATTGTTTTTGGTTGTGATATTGAATCTTTCATATGATATTTGAGTGTCCATAATGTATCATATAAGAAATGGACTTGTCATGAAATCAAAACTAATTCTCAAGCTTTAGGTTTGGTTTGGTGGGCTTCAATTTGGTTCCTTAATTTCTGTGACATTGATTGCAATATTTTCATTCTCATGTCTGGATGCATTCCAGAAACTAGGAAATGAAAGCAACAAATAATTATTTCATCATGTAACAATAGTCGGCTGGTCTGCTCAGTCTAACTGATACTGTAAAGAACATTTCAAATCATGATTTCTTTCTGAACCCTTAGGGTTGCAATTAAATATAGGAATATTAGGTGTGCTCCTTTTAGTTTCAACAAATTTTGTTTCTTCTTGTTCCTACAGCAAGGAATGCCTTCATTAAATTAGGAATTTGTCATTAAAGTAAAAAAAATCAACATTTGAAGCTTTTTCTCCAGGGAATGACTTGTACATAAAATTCTTTGAAAATTTAATGTAAGCATAACACTCCAAGTTGTGATTACTTGGCAACTAGGAAAAAATCAAGGACAGCCCAATTTTCTGGGAAAGTTCCAAATCCAAAGACCATGCAGTGATAAACAATCATGTAGCAAGTTGCAACATTTTTATTACTTTTTGTTTATGGTCAAAGGTTGATCTCAGATTAGCATTTGCATCAAACATTTCTTAATTTCTCATCATTTTAATTTGTGAAAAATTAGGTCTCTATCCTTGTAAGTCAAATCTAAAACCTTGAGGTGATGTGTCATCTTCAAAAATGATTGTTTTCTGTTAATTGGTTATCATTAAACCAGGGTGTATTGTCATGGTGTTACAAGTCAATTAATACTTCGTAAAGTGAACTGGTGAACTTCTAATTTATTTCTTGTGTTAATTTTAGGATTTAGGATCACCAAATAGTGACTTTGATGAAAGTTGAGCTCTAAGCCCTGAACATTAAAATCAAGAAGAAAAATTGCCAATCAGATTTTGAGAGTGAAGGAGTTACTTGAAGTGGTTTATAAGACCTAACAGTTTAGAGAGCAAAAAGTATAGGAGATTCCTTTCCAGTCATCACAAAATACAGATTTTGATTCACAAGTTAAAACCAACATCTAAAGTTGAAAGGTATTGCTAAGGTGTGGTGACTAGATTTAGACTCAGACAATGTGAGAATTATAAATTGTATGTGATTACAAGAGATACCTGCTCTTCTTCTCTTATGCCTTGGAAAATTCATGTAGATGATGATGATCAAAAGATCAAAAGATGTGTTTTTATGTCTTTCATGTCTCCATCCAGCTGTTCTTTGCACTTCCCAAAGTTTTGGTTGTTTTTGAAGGTTTAAGCAAAAGTTTGATAGAAAAAACCTTAAATTTGCACAATTTTCATGTTCTTCACTTTAAATAGTAATTTGAAGGTCTTATATTTGAATTTTAATCCTGCAGTTGAATATCTTCAATCAATGTATTTACTGTGGAAAAGTTTTGGACAAATTTATGTACTGGTAGTTTCTGCAACTAACAAAGGATAAATCAAGTTTGTTGCATCATGATAGCTTTCACTGAAATTATGGTAATATAGGTAGTTTTCAAAAACTTTCTCTGATATAGCTCCATCTTTTGAGCCTAGGGATAAGTACTGGCCTTTGGCAGTGGTAAATGTCCATTACTCATGGTTAACATAAGTGCTGACAAAGTGATATGCACAACTCCATTTCAGTATGTTGATCCCTCTGCTCAATCTAATTGTGGGGTTGTAAATTTATTAAATGTAGCAAATGAGGTAGCCCAAACATAGAACTAACAAGTTCCATGTCAAAGTAGTTGATGATTTCTTAAAGATAATTATTGTTATCCATGATTAAGATCATTTGTATTTCTAAATGATTTTATTGATTTTAAAGTTCCCAGTGTCATTGTGCATTATTTCATTTTACTCTATTCAGTAATTGGACTGTTAAGGACAATTTTTATGTCATTGTGGGAATCTATGTTATATTAATTAAATATAAAACAAGTCTATAAGTGCCTCTGAAATGTGATAATTATCAGTTTGATTGATCATTAATCAATGAATGTTATTAGCCTAAATAACTCACCATTTGTGAGTTACATCTTCTGGAATCAGCTTTTTATTGCCTTCAAAGCATTTGAATCCTCATGTGGGGGAATTGCGATTGGAATATGTTATCACTGACAGTTAACTCATTTCTCAGGCACTTTGAGATTGTTACTCTAAAGCAATGTAAATTAATGTGATAGCATGAGAGGATTTTATCTTTAGTTATTAAAACTTGATTATTTCTTCTATTATCCCTTCTTCTGTTATCTCAGTGTCTAGTACCAAGAAGAATATAGTTTATCAGGTACTAGAGGGAAAATCATGAATTGAATTTAATAAGACATTGTAAATAGTATGTCTGAGTTGGTGATAGAAGAAGCTTATTTATTTTGCAATGATCTATCTATTTATTTATTTGTGTACCTATTTATTCAGATTTTATTTATTTATGTAGTGTACTTATTGTCTAACAATATGTTTCTGCATTCAAACAATTATCATGAGGTAAATGGTGGTCTTGGTAAAACAAATGCAAAATGTTTGGGAAATATGTAACACATTTGGGAAATAGAGTATGTTTTAGTTAATGCAAAATGTTATATTTAATTGTCACATGAACATGACAAAATTAAAATGAACACATATATTTTTTGGTTGTGATGATTTATTTGATGTTTAGGTTATAAAGAATGTCTGCCTTTTACCCCAATCCAAATACAAGGGAGTTAGGAGAATTTTAGTCAGTTATGTATATGCCAGAAAAAGCTAGTCTCCTGCAGACATTATGTCCACTTGAAAAAGTATGTCCATTTATAGGAGAGAAACAGGCAGCTGATTTGTGACGTTATGAGAGACAGGCATCTGTATACAGTGTGATCATCATCATTTTTCTGTTTTGCTTCTTTGTTACGAAACAATCCTGTTTCTCTAGAAAAATTATGTATCTAGAGATTGATTTCAAAGTAACCCATGTTGTGGGAAAAAACAACTTGACGTACATCTTTACACCTCACCAGTCCAGGGACCTCTATTTTGCAACATGTTTCTTTATAAAACCTCACGATTAGAGCCAAAATCGAAATTTGGTCTCAGAGAATCCAAACATATTTTTACTTAATCTCTTTCTTACCGACACTGCAGACCAGTGATCAGATGATGAAAGTTTTTTTGCACAAAATTCCCAAATGGGGGTCGGAGAATTCTGGCAATTCTTGCTAGAGGTGTGGTCCCCTTTTTCAGACCGGTTTCAGTTCTTGCCCTTTGTTTCTTGATTTCGTGTCTAAATAACATCCCCTTTTTAGGTGCTACATTTTAGTTTGTTTCGTTCGTTTGTTACAACGTGTCAATACCGCAGTGGAAGATGTTTTTTCGTTTAGTCACGAGCGTGGGACAAAGAAAAAAATTCTGAGTCTCCATGAGGAATCGAACCTCAGATTCCGCACTCTAATGCTCTATCACTGAGCCACGGAAACTCTAAGGTGAGCAAGACCAATTATGAAGTTCATATGTCAATACTGGGGGTTTGTTTGGGAAAAACTGTTCCCGAGGTCTTGGATACCGCCTTTTCTTAAGGCCTTTAGCGGTAAGAACTCAGGCACATTTTTTCTCATTACAGACTGACGTAGGATGGTGAGAAACATTTTTATTTTTTTTAACTTAGAAAAATGCTTGGAAAAAAATCCCGAATATCCAGGGCTGTAATAACGGCACGATTCTCCATGAACTGAACAATTCATTGAGAAAACAGAATTAAAGAGAGGCTTCACCTAAACATTTTTATTTGTGTAATAGTAGAATTGATTTACTATAGTGTTCAATGAAAACCTTGCAACAATTTTTATAAGATTATGTCACAACCTGACACCTGTCCACTAGAAAGCAAAAAAAAAAAAAAAAAATATGCATGTGCAAATTTGCATGAACAGCAATAGTGTATGGTTTGCCAATCAAACTCGAGTTAAATATTATCACGACGATGCTGTCTTCACAAACAGTTAGTGCTCTTACACGGAAAGTATTATTCATTCCCAACGGCGATTAGTTTTCGAAGATTTATCTCTGTTCAGTTATGAAAGGCAACGAAAATTATTGTAGGTAACTTCAAATGTGTGTTTTAAAGTTTTGAGAGTTTTTATTTGTTTGCTGCAATTTTTTATTTCTTCCGCCGAAAAGCTGAAGTCAAATGAGGCACTTTTTCTTGTTAGACACGCGGATTTATTGCGACTTTTAGTAATAGAATCACTTCGGTTTCTGTTGTGAAATGTACGGTAGATGTCCAAATTCATGAGAATTGCGAAGAGTTAGCGAAAGTGCATTTGGGGTGGAAATCAAAACTTCACTCAACTTTGTACCACGAACAAATTGTTTTGGAGAATTCAAATTTTATATGAACGCGAAAGTTTCACTGATTAATGTAACCGTTAACTTCAAATACCTTTCGTTTTAACTTTCTCAGTTACTTTTTGAGAAGGATTGAAAAAGTTAACTGGCCGTGTGCCAATCTACCTAAAAAACACATTTAGTAGCACAAAGTTCACAACTTCAAAATCAATTTTTGCGGAAGAACTAGTCATTTGAGAGAGAAAGAGAGAGAGAGCTAGAGGAAAGGGTACTTTTGTAACACAAAGGGGCACTTCTGTAACGTGACAGGCACTTTGGTAACTTTTAAGGGCACTTTGGCAACTTTGGAGGGCACTTTAGTCACTTTTAGGGCACTTTTGCAACTATGGAAGGTTATAAAAATTATTTATTTCCTGAACTACTTAAACCCTTAAAAAAATTGTTAAAGCAACCACTTCAGTTGCTTTTAGGAAAAAGAAACTTTTAAACTGAACGACTTCTGATCTGATCGAGTTAGGGGATCAGAAAGGTACTACTTCAAACGTTCTACATGGACAGGAAACGTTCTTTCACAAAAAAAATAGATCGTTTTGTTAAGGGTTGAGGATTGTGGCAGACAATCGTTCTGATAAATAATAATAATTCATGATTTTTTGAAAGATTTATGCTCAAAAAAGTGTTGATACGGTATCTGATTCTCAAAACCAACATTGAAAGTACCGTAATTGATTTCATACATACTGAGCGAATGAGTGAGAATACATCGTTCGTCCAATCGTAGACATGAACGATGGTACTTCACAGTGGAGGGCAACAAGTGTGCGGCTTTCAGTAAAAAAAAAAAATTTTAGTACGTATGAAATAAAAACATTACACCATGGAAAATGCTTGAACGTTTCTATTCACTTGTATAACGTGAATAAAAATCTTTCGATGCCAATTGTATCCCTCAGCGGTGCGTTATCCTTTCCCTCATTGCTTTACGAGTACGTTTTGACAACTAACTTGTTAGGTCTAAGCGCGCTCTGTAATTTATGTTTGACTGTCTTGTTAGGTCAAAGAGCACTCCGTAGTTTACGTTTGATTGTTTTTTTAGGTCTAAGTGCGCTCTGTAGTTTACGTTTGAATGTCTTGCTAGGTCAAAGTGCACTCTGTAGTTTATGTTTGACTGTTTGTTAGGTCTAAGTGCGCTCTGTAGTTTACATTTGAATGTCTTGCTAGGTCAAAGTGCACTCTGTAGTTTATGTTTGACTGTCTTGCTAGGTCAAAGTACATTCTGTAGTTTATGTTTGACTGTTTGTTAGGTCTAAGTGCGCTCTGTAGTTTACATTTGAATGTCTTGCTAGGTCAAAGTGCACTCTGTAGTTTATGTTTGACTGTCTTGCTAGGTCAAAGTACATTCTGTAGTTTATGTTTGACTGTCTTGTTAGGTCAAAGTGCACTCCGTAGTTTACGTTTGATTGTTTTGTTAGGTCTAAGTGCGCTCTGTAGTTTACGTTTGAATGTCTTGCTAGGTCAAAGTGCACTCTGTAGTTTATGTTTGACTGTCTTGCCAGGTCAAAGTGCACTCTGTAGTTTATGTTTGACTGTCTTGTTAGGTCAAAGTGCACTCTGTAGTTTACGTTTGATTGTTTTGTTAGTTCTAAGCGCTCTCTGTAGTATATGTTTGATTGTTTTGTTAGGTCTAAGCGTGCTCTGTAGTTTACGTTTTATTATTTTGTTAGTTCTAATTGTGCTCTGTAGTTTATGTTTGACTGTCTTGTTAGGTCTAAGCGTGCTCTGTAGTTTACGTTTTATTATTTTGTTAGTTCTAAGCGCTCTCTGTAGTTTATGTTTGACTGTCTTGTTAGGTCTAAGCGTGCTCTGTAGTTTATGTTTGACTGTCTTGTTAGGTCTAAGCGTGCTCTGTAGTTTACGTTTTATTATTTTGTTAATTCTAAGCGCGCTCTGTAGTTTATGTTTGACTGTCTTGTTAGGTCAAAGTGCGCTCTGTAGTTTACGTTTGATTGTTTTTTTGGGTCTAAGCGTGCTCTGTAGTTTACGTTTGAGTGTTTTGCTAGGTCTAAGTGCGCTCTGTAGTTTATGTTTGATTGTTTTGTTGGGTCTAAGCGCGCTCTGTAGTTTATGTTTGATTGTCTTGCCAGGTCAAAGTGCACTCTGTAGTTTACGTTTGACTGTCTTGTTAGGTCAAAGTGCACTCTGTAGTTTTAGTTTGATTGTTTTGTTAGGTCAAAGTGCACTCTGTAGTTTACGTTTTA